TCTCTTTTTGAGATGCACTTAGCATTTAGCATTTTTCAAAAGGATAATGATGTAGTGGCCGAAAATGAGGCTGGGAGGACTTAGGGGATACAAATGGCAAATCCAGGGGCTACAACTATTATTTTTACCTGTACATCACCAGTGTGGATGGTACCCTTATGTCCAGCAAAATCTTGATGTGTAATACCTCCCTAAATTCCATTAAAAAGAGATTTAATTTCTTTTAATGAAATTAATATTCATAATTAAAAAAAAAAGAACTTAAAAATTAAATTTTAGAAAGAAAGGTTTTTACCTGCAACACGTAGGTAACAGTCTCAAAACCCCTGTGTGGATGATCAGGAAATCCAGACGGAGGAGAAACTGCAAAATTTAGGCAGCTAAACTTTAAAACCATGTCCATTATTAACAAAGTAATTTTCTAAATTTTGTACTTAGGAATTTTTATATAAATTAATGTTAATAAAATATAATAAATATACACTTAAGTTACGATTTAGTAAAATCTATCAATAAAAATATAATATAATAATTACGTAGTCAATTTACGTTAGCTGCATATTTTATCTCAATTAATAAAAAAATAATAATTTTGATAGCAAACTCTTATAATTATAAAATGTAAAATCTCTAAATTCACCCTTCAAAGAAAGAGATAGGGATAGATTTATCTTTTAAAAAAATATAAAAAAAATTGTTATTTTAAATTATAAATAGAAATAAATCACTTATTTTTTAATATATAATATCAACTTTTTATTAAAAATATTTACATGACAAATAAAAATTTGACATTACATATTAAAAAATATATAATTTATTTTTATTTATAATTTAAAGAAATAATTTATCTCTATATTTTTTTAAAGATGGATTTAGAGATTTTGTTAATTATAAAATATATAATTTCACAAAAAATAAATTACAAATATACTACTTCATATCATAATTGTAATTGCAAAGTGTACCTGAAAAATCATCCAACATCAGAAAAGGATCAAGAGATCTCAACTCACTCCTGTTCACAAATCAAATACAAAAAATAAGCAAATCCCAAAACGGAGGAGAAACAAGAAAAGGAATTGCTACCAACTAATTAATACAGATGAAATAGATGAATAATTATTTTGTTTTCCCGGAAAAATTGATGTAATTAATACAATGAATAAAAATGAAATCGAACCTTCCGATGCCTCTACGAACGACGGCGCCATCGCCTTCGTTTTGAAGATTGGCCAAGATCTTCTTGGCGACCAACCTTGGTTGGTTGAAAGGAAGGTTCTGATCTGAATCGGACATGATGATGTTTCTCGGACAGGAAGTTGTGCGGAGTTTAGCTGTCGGAGAGAATCTCAATCTCAATTGTTGCAAGCTACGATTGGCGGTGACTCTCATGGTATTCTCGGCCCTGTCCTCTCCCTTTGTATATATACAGCTCAGGGTTCGACTTTTCAGAATATTTTAATTGGAAAAGGGCCTTGCTTTCATAAGTTAGAAGGAGAAAAAAAATAAAAAAAGAGTTTTGGGGTTGGTTTGAACACAGTAAAAATAGGATGGAATCAAATTCTTGATGTCAAGCTTTTGTCATCATGACGAAAGTCCACTTTATTACTTTTAGTCCTCAATCTTTCGAATCAATCGATTTAGTCCTTGACATTATTTTGGCGAAAAAGTACAAGTACTACCAAACAATATAGATAGAATGAATAAGACCGTACACTTAACAACACCTAGACATCTTAAGTTCAAATTTTTACCAAAAATGATTTAAATAGTCTAATAATAATATATATATATTTTTTTCAAACATTGGAGAATTATGGGGAAATAAAGAATATTTTTTAAGTAATTAGTGAAAGTTGAACTTCTGATTAATTAAATCCAAACACTGAAACATGGTAATGAACTATTGGGCACATAAGTCCAGATTCTAATAATAATCTCTTTTTAATATAAATACTAAATAAAACCTTAATAACTCCATCAAATTAAGAATCTATTACAAAAAATAATTTAATTAACTTAATAACAATCTCATTCTTATAAAAATAAGAGGTCATAAGTGTTTATCTCATGACATGCAAATAATATGAGTCAAAAGATAAAATGAATTATTTTTTATTATAAAATTTAAATAAAATCCTACAATGAACTGTAACATCAAAATCTTTAACAGGGGGAGGAGAGGACCCAATACGAGGGACCTTCCCCCAATATCAAAGGATCTTCTCTTTTTAATGGTTGTGATGTTATAGTCTTAATTTTTCATAATTTAAAATAAAAAATAAAAAAAAATTCTAACTGTTAAAAAATAGAAAGAAAGATTATCGCATTACATCGACTAACCCATCAAATTAATGTATAAGATAAACCCTATGGTGAACGGTGACGGCATAGGGATAAACCATGCCGACATCTTTGTATTTGGCAGTCAATTTTGGGAAGGAGTTTTGTTGATGTCTCCAATATAAATCCAACGCAGCAGAAATGACATCCATCACACCTAAGCATTGCGTACGCTTCGACCAAAATGATAAATCAATCTAAACGACCTTTTCCTTATTTCTTCAGCAGCTATTTTAATTTTTTTGCCAGCTGGCTGCATTCATGTCTGCCAATTGGAATGTAGTTACACGTAGGGACCTGAATACCTTCTAGAATCCTCATGTCATGCAGCATGAACAAGCAAAACCTAGTTATTACCAAAAAAATAAAAAAAGAAAAGAAACCACCTTACTTGAGATGGATTTTAGTTGGGTGAATATGGATTATGACATCATTATGGTATGTGAGTCAGTGAGAGCAAGCAATTGATTAGACACCGTACCAAGCAATTGCAACTTCAGTTGACACAATTTGAGTTCCTCAATCTAGTCAAGTTAAAATTAACACCTATCAAACAATTAATACCTATCATGAGTAAGGGTACAGTTTCATATCATATTATAATACCTATCATGAATAAGGGTACAGTTGCATATCATATTATAATACCTATCATGAATAAGGGTACAATTGCTAGCAGCAAAGTCTAACAGACAACATAATTGATAATGATACCAAAATGACTAGAAGATACAATCTTTAGATTCAAAGCATAGGGAAATATTTCAAAGGCCATAATTTCCCCATGTAAATATCTGCTGCTTACCGCTAAGCTCACTCAAAATCCAATAAAGTCAATGAGGTGATAAGACTCACCCATCAGCAACCATGAAATCCAGAAGGGTGTTCAAGGTCAACTTCTAGAAAGCTTGGGTGGTGAATCCACTCAAGAAGAAAGTTCATAAAAAAGGAATGATAAAAGGTTCAATTGGGATACCTGGATCAACTGGAATTTTACATAACCTGAATGGAAAAGAGTAATAAACAAGGCACATTGTCCTGCCGACCAGATTGAAAAAGTGGTTGAGCAGAATAGGACAGAATGATTGATAGACCTAATTGAATCCTTTCTTTTTCCTACTTTAAGAAACCAAAACAGAGTACATATTTATTAAATCTGTGTATTATTCTGCACCAATTCTGAACATTTACCTCATTGGAATAAAAATTTTCCCCTCTCATAAACTTTTAACTGATCTAAGTCTAGGGCTCAAAACTTTTAAGTTTAATCAGTATTGTAATTGAACCAATACACCTCCATGCACACCCACCTTACCAAGATAATTTTAAAAAAAGAAAAGAAACATGAACCCACAATATCAGGCAAATTGACAATTGAGAAAGCAAGTTGACTTGAACGAAAACTTTGTAGACTTTTTTTTTTTTCAAAATTGATTGACTGTTCACAAAACAGCTTACAAGTTGTGCCAAGATGACTATTCCCTATTCATCCGCAGCTCCCTTTCTTTTTCCCTCAAAATCATTACCATTTGGTATTGGACCATAAAAACAGATCCGCAGATCACCTTGCAGTAACCGCTGGTGGAAGTAGTTCTTATACAAGTCCCAGAACTCACCCCTGCCATTTAACAATAGAACAGTAAAAATGAGAGAAACATGGTTCAAAATTTTTCAAACTGCAGATAAAAAAGATTACTGCACAAGGTCAAGAAAACCCTCAAGTCATATCAAATATATGTGTGTTTGGCTTCATAAGTAACATCATTTCAATTAGTAATGTACAGAGCCCAACAGAATACTTTTGGCATAATCAGTGTTTCAATTTTTAGCAACAGAATACTAAGGGTATGTTTGGTTTGAGGGAAATGGAGGAATATCTCCCTCCCTTCATTTGGATAAGTTAAAATAAATGAAGGAATTGAAAATTTTAATTTGATTGGGCAAGAAAGTCCCCCCCCCTCCATTTCCCTCAAACCAAACATACCCTAAATCTCTTAACATACCCCTAAAAGAAACAAAATGAACAACAGGGTGAATAAAGATGGCAATAGGTAGCTCTGTCAAACCTGACTTGTGGAAGTGTAAGCAATGAATATCCCTTAACATCTGTGTAAATGTCGAGTACAATAACAGCTAAACGAGAAAGCCCCAGTGCCTCTATGTCAATCAACTTTTTAATCCTGAAATTGGAATGTATTAATCAGATGAAAGTTAACAGGAAACAAGCAGAACATTTAATGGCATTACATAGCATTGCCACCTTAGATCGTTAAATGACCAGGAAAAGATGTGATCATCCGAGTATTGCAATTAGAAAAGGAACCTAATTAGGATTTCTTTTCATACTACCAATTATTATTATATTTCTCATATTTTACCTTTCACAGAATTGCTCATCCTCTTTATCCTTTACTAATTTAATTTCAGACTAATAAGTTACTACACATACTGGTGAAGTACTGAGGTTTGATGGCTAACCTGCTTGGCGTACCACTAGCAATATTAACTCTGTTCTTTAACAAAGATACCTGCAGTGAAAATAAATTGAATGAATAAGCATTAATGTACAAAAATAAAACTTAACTAGAGGCCTTGCAAATACCATAACCATATATCACACAAGCTCACAATTAAGGGAGTGAAATGGTAATTTGCAAAGTGATTGTTTATACATACAAGTTTCGAGAAAAATTTAACAGTCAAAATGATCTCACAAAAAATTAATAACATTAATAGCATAGGAAATGGCAAAAGGATCCATCTCATCCCCAAATAGCCAGTAAATAATCAAGGGTGGACAAAAGTAATACTACCGCATGCAAAGACAGGTTTTATATTTATTAATTTATTATATATATGAGTTGGGAAAAAGCAGGTAAAAAAAATCAGAGAATTTGGGATCAGACTGACGTGCAAAATAAATATTCAGCAGAGCTTCTTGCCTCTGATAATCTGTTAAAATACTCATCATTTCCCAAACTCCATAGTTGAAAATAAGACCATTCATTACTTGCAATCATATTTTCTATTAATCTAAAAAGAAGAATGACTAAGTGAAAATTTTCATACTCATCATAAAATACTGTACAACAGTTGTTACTTCATATGTACTTATTGACTATCAAGGCAGACAATAAAAGATTATGATAACAATCCCATTAACATAAATACTATTTAATAAAAAACAAAGCAAGGATCAAGCCACATCACAACACATGAATCCATGAGAGATAAACAAATTAGAAGTATCATATTACACGCATAGAAGCTGGCTGATTAATTTGATCAAATAGAAACAGTAGTAAAAAATTGTAAGGATCTGGGATCAGACTGACGTGCAAAATCATTATTCAGCAAAGCTGCTGCCTCTGGTGATTGTTAAAACATTCACATCATATCCCAAAATCCTCACTTACTGACAATCTTAGTTGTGTTATACCCACCAATCTCATTATCGAGACTTTATCATTATAATTGTTTAAAAATAATACAAATGAGTATACAAGTAGCAGCAACGAGCTGCACTGATATAGAAGAAACATTTTATTGATATAATGAGGAAAAAAAAAGGTTAGAAAACCTACCTGTTCATCTACTTTCATATGCTTTGAGAATAGTTTTACAGCACGACATTCTCTAGTCAATGAGCGCATGCCCCTAAGGAAACATAAACATTTCTTTAGTTCTTTTCTCCAGCCAGAATCTATTAATAAAATCAAAATAAAATTGTAAAATATATATATATATATATATATATATATATATATATATGCTGGCCACAATTTACCAGCATAAAAGGGGAATAGAAATAAAAGGTTTTAGATTTTGCAGAAATTTCTAGTCAATCACTTAAACAATAATCATCCAACTATATTTATCTTTGTTGTTCTTCAAAAAAATCAATTAAAAAAGGGCAAAACTACCAGACCTTAGGAGCTCTATAGATCTCAAAGCAGATGTAGAAATAACAAGAACCGCCGGACTCCCAGGTTCAATTTTATCTTCCAAGAGCTGCCCTTCACAAAGGGCTTCTTTCCATGACGACCCAAAAGCCGCCTTCATGTGTTTACCTAAACAGCTACCATCTTGGCTCAAGTCTTGAGAAACATCCACAACACAAGTATCTAGCAGACACAAAAAAATATGTTTGAATCAATGGTAGTTCGCAGAAAATGTATTCCTGGAACTCATCCAAAAGGAAATCATTTTCCAAGGAAATCTAAATCAACCGAGAAAAGAAAAGGAGGAATAATACCTTTAATAGATTCCAACTCGAGTGAAGAGAGCTGGACGCCATTGGCAGACTGAAATTGATTGAGGAAGAAACGGAGCTGATGCGATGGTGATGCGGGTTGTACATCGCCAGTTTCACTGTTTCTGCTCGTTTTGTTGCCGTGGTTATTGATTGCGCCAATCGTACTACTCTTGCTGTTGTTCTTCTTCTTCTTCTTAGTGCGCTTGATTTTTGGCCGGAGAGATTTAGTGTTGGATTTAGGGTTTCTCAGAGACTTCTTCCCTGTTTTCCCCGCACCCATTGTTTCTGAAGCTTTTTGACTGGAGCTAGGGTTCTATTGAGGCGGCAAGGGTTTTAGGTGCCGGAAATTTCCATTTTAGTGTTGTCCGGCGATTATAATTACAAAAATGGAATTGTTGTAGTAATGGTAATTCTAGAAAATTACAATGTTATAATTATAACATGATAATAAATCATTATTATTTAAAAATAACTTTTTATATTATTTTTTATATAATTTTATATATTATTTTAAATAATTAATTTTTTTATTTATTTAAAATTCTTAATATTAAGTATATATATTCATTTAATAA